TATATATATATATTATACCTATTTACTCTGTTAAACAAGTACATACATTTGAATTTATGGAACTCTTGGAAAAAACCCATCTTTTCATGTTCTATTTTTGAGGAAGGAACAAGAAGCCCACCCACCATTCTACCATTTTGTGTATCAAATTTTTGTATGCTTGTGTGTCTCCATGTATTGAAAAATATTTGTGATTGTAAAAATGAAAAGAGATTAAAATACAGTTTGAATGATATCTTCTATCAGTAATTCATTTCAACCCAATTACCAAGTTATACTTTTTATTTATTCAAACAATATATTACTACACTGTTCCCTTCGGGAATAAGCAACAACTACAATGAGCATCAAAAAAGAGTAATATATAATCAGCTGAAAAAAATTAAAGGCAAGGCATAAGAAAAAGGAACATAGCTAAATCGATTTTAAACCAAATTAATTCACTGTTCCTCTCCCCATCTTGCAAATCATCCTTGTATCCCCAACCTCCATATACCACATCATATATTGCCTTCTCTTTAGCTCTCTCAGCTTTATCCAACTGCAAATTCTTAACCTTGTTCTTCCTTCTAAATAATTTTCTTTTCTTCCATAAATTTATTTCATGATTTGATCCTAATTCACTCTCTCCACCTGATCAAATCACCTCAACATATTTATTTTAATAATTCATGTTTAATAATATGCAAATACTACTGGCATCTTAAGCCAAAATGGAGTTCATGGTTTTGCTTTGATCCTTCTAACTATAATACAGGTAGACCTCAACTTAAGACCACAATTGAGCCCCAAATTTATGTTGTTAAGTGAGAAATTTGTTAAGGGAGTTTTGCCCCATTTAAAGATTTTTCTTGTCACGTTTGTTAAGTAAATCACTGCAGTTGTTAAATTGGTAACATGGCTGTTAAGTGAATCTGGCTTCCCCATTGACTTTGCTTGTCAGAAGATCACAAGAAGTGATCACTTAAACCTGGGACACTACGACTGCCATAAATGTGAGTCAGTTGTCAAGCATCTAAATGTAAATCATGTGACCATGGGGATGCTGCAATAGTCATAAATGTGAAAAATGGTCATGTCACTTTTTCAGTGCTGTTGTAACTTCAAACAGTCACTAAATGAACTGTTGTAAGTCAAGGACTACATGTAAATCAAGAAGAGCAAGAGTATCATGCTCTTTATCCTATTTTATACCGTATACAGTACCTATGAAATTTTATTTAGGTGCAATTCAATAATGCATTTTTCATCTAGTGTGCTCAGGGTAACCAACAGCAACAGTTAAAACAATACTGTGATCATTGAAAAGCAAAGCTTTACAATATAGGTGTTAAAGCAGCAATATAATGAAAATAAAATCAAGATATCTGTGGAATATAAATTCATTTGAGAATGAAAGTTACCATTTATTATCTGACCATTACTCTTTGTATAGGAACCCAGCCCCTGGGAATGCCCTAGCTCTACATGAATCCATGTTGCAGAATTTCTGCAATAAATAGATTGAACAGGAAATGGATTAAACAGACAGATTCAAGGGGAGATACCGTTCAAAAATCATGCTGTGAAACTATTACTCACTTTGAGCTGAGCAGGAAAAGAAATGGTCCATTTATTTCGTTCATTTATTTGTTAAATTTATTTGCCACTTATCTCACTGTAGTGATACTGTAGGCAGTTTATAATTATATAAAGGAAGAAAACTGACAGGCATGTAAACATAAGTAAAATAATAGAACAATAAAATAAACAATGATAAAGGAACACAATGAGATTAAATACATCAATATGATAACCAAAAAGATGAGTGGGTGGAGAGCGGAGAGCAAGAAGGGGGAGGGGGAGTCTGCCATCAATCTAGCAGCATATCCTGTGGGGAACTCCCCCATTTGGTCCTGAGGCCGATCATCACAGCCAGGTGTTCAGGCTCTTGTGTTAAGATAGAGGGTGAGGTTAATTGCCATTTGCAACTTGTTAGGCCAAATGTCACTTCCAGGGACTTCCATGGGTGTGGTGGGATGGGTCAACATGTCACCATGAAAGCTACATCAAATGACATGACAGCAATGTTATGGGTCACATGATAGCAGCATTCCAGTATTTGACAGGTTACCACAAAGGGGGGGGGGTGTCAACTTATTTACCAAAGTACA